TAATCCACCTTTCCATCATCCAAAACAGCCCCTAAATAATCCAAAGTTCTTCATTGAGGAAGAAGAGTGGGTTGAGGTCTTTCCTTTACCCCTTTTCAATTTCTTTCTTCAAGCTCTTTTTCTTCATCATCTAAAAGAACTTTCTTATTTAGGAAAACTTGACTCTCTTGAGAGACATGGTATAGGGTAATGAAGACTAACCTGATCTTGTGCATCTAGCTATCGACGTTAAATTTAGCATCCAAGGGAAGAAATTCTTTCTATTTCCACGTTTCCCTAATTTTCAATTGCCTTGGCTTTGAAATTTTCTGGGAAATTGCTAAGGAAAGCCAAAATTTAACCTTATCTGGAACTATCTTAAATTGTTGTCCAAAATTCAGACTGGTTTTCTTAGGCCTTCTGCAACCCTTGTTTTCATTTCCAGAAATTTTCAGCTCTATCCAGCAATTTCATCTGTCTTTCGACATGGTACTCTTGTGCATAACCTCCTTCTTTCAATGCACTGGTTGTTCGAAGTTTCCCAAGTCCATTTGTGCATTTAAGTCCTATATTGGCACTCTCTGAACTTGTTGTCAATACCATGCAGGAAAGATTGCAATCCAAGCATTCATAGGGCTTAGAAAAGTTTTGCCCTGCAATTCGAGCGCTTGAAACATCTCTTTCGAGCGCTCAAAAGTTCCAAAATGCTCACTGTCAAGTTTTCGAGCACTCGAAACATCACTTCGAGTGCTCGAAAGATCCATGCAGCATCCCATTCCCTACTGCCTCCAGTTCGAGCGCTCGAAGACACCATTTCGAGCGCTCGAAAACCCATCCATGCCCATTGTCCATTTTTCGAGCGCTCGAAGAATCACTTTCGAGCGCTCGAAACCTACTGTCCATACTTCGAGCGCTCAAAGGGCTTACTTCGAGCCCTCGAACTCCCCCACTCTTTTTAAAAACCGACTTTCCTCTTCCATTTATTCAGTTTCACTCATCCATTCCCCTTGCTCCCACAACCTCCTTGATTCATTTCACCTCCCTAACTTCTCCACCTCTTCCTCTTCCTCATTTCTTCATCTCCAACCTTCTCCCATCTCCATCACTCTCTCATCCACATCACCACCACTTACCACCATGCACAAGGGGCCTTTGGTTCTCCATTTTTGGGTAAGTTTCTTCTTTCTCTTTCTCTTTCACGTTTTTGGTATAAATGGAGGATGGGATTGTTTGTGTAGAGGTATAGTATGTGTTTGGGGCTTGTATATAGTCAATTGTAGGTAAAAATTTTTGGGTTTTCAAGCACCATTCACTGTCTTTGCCTCTAATTTTTGCAAAGTGCACACCACCTGCTCGACAAAATTCCTGAACCAACTTCATCTCTCTAAATGGCACCGCTTTTGGCATTATTTTGTTATCCGTTTTAAACTTGTGGCTAATGTGTGCATATTTGTGTTTTGTATGGATTTTTATCTTTTAATAAAATTCATGTTAAACAGTAGTGCATTCACATAGATGGAAACCTTTGCCTTCATCACTCCACTTGGTATTATTGTTCTTTTACCCTCTATGCTCTTTATTTTTACATCTTTGTCTTCACACATTGAGGACAATGTGTCATTCAAGTTTGGGGGTATTGTGTATTGTATAGTGTTTGCATTTGCTATTTTGTTCAAATAGATTGGTATAAAACTGAAAAAATTTTTTAAAAAATGGAAGAAATGATTTTATAGTCTTGGAACTTGTTGGAGATTGAAGCATGTGTTGAATACTTTGTGTATAGGGGTAAATGATAGTTATGAAATGAGGAAAATTTGAAATGAACATGTGGATTCAAAATGGTTTGTATAAATGCTTCAATTAGACTATCTTCGAATATCACTCTCTTCTATGCTTCACACTTCACATATGCACACCGGAAACTTAATTGTGAGGCATGCAACCCGATTTACCTTGACCATGACTTTATTGATTTGAATTGATGACCCTAATGAATGGATATCTTTGGCATTGAAAATATATATATATATATATATATATATAGTTAGATAAGGATAATGGCCAGTTTAAGTTCGTAGCCTTGCTAACTCGAGTTATTAAGCCTTAGGAGTGTTTTTACACTTAGCACCCTAAAGCCATCTGGTTTGCGAGTTGCTGGCCTAACACTTGTTACATGGGTTAGTTAGAAAGCTTAAAGGACTTAGGCATTGCACGGTCATTCACGAAATAAAAATAAATAAATATAGTTCGTTGGAGTTTATAACCTTTCCAACTCGAGTTATTAAGCCCTTGGAGTGTCCTTACACTTAGCACCCTAAAGCCATCAGGTTTGGGAGTTGCTGGCCTAACACTTGCTACATGGGTCGATTAGAAAGTTTAAGGGACTTCGGCATTGCACGACCATAATATGTATCATCTAATAAAAAAAAATAATAATAAAATAAATAAAAAAGAAAGAAAAGCAACAAAAAGTTGTATGGTGAATAAATTCATGCCTTAGAGACCTCATTAAAAAGGAAAATTTAATGATTTGAAGACTTGTGTTATGAAATTGGAAGAAGAAGGTAAAAGCCACATGTTGGGAATCCGGTTCACTTTCACTGAAGCTAGAGTTGATTTCTATTATAGATATGACAATTGAAGTATTTATATGGACCATGATGTTGATGCATGAGAATTGAAAGATGTTTTTCCATTTTGTATATCAAGGCCTCATATACACACAGTAGTCTTCATAATGATTCCATCTCCAATGTTCTCTATGTTCCAAGTTTGAAGATGAACTTTGTGCAACTTTATGCACCTTGTTTGATATTTATGGGTAACATTTCTGTTAAACCCTCATGAGACTTCACTCGTCCTCTAGGGATGCCTAGGGGTTTAAAAGGCTTGTTGCATATGCTAAATGCAACCGTCACTCTCACGAAAGAAGAGTCATTTTGTTATTCCATTGTGTGTTCAGTTTTGTTTTGCTAAGGGACTAGCAAAATGTAAGTTTGGGGGTGTGATAAGCGCCGAATATTGCATATTCAAGCGCCCTTATTTGCATTATTTTATCATATTGTATATTCTAGCTCCATTTGCATGCTTTTGTTTATTTTCAGGTTGGTTCCCCAAAGAGAGTTAAAAGAGATGCTTTGACGAGTTCTTAAAGAATTAAAGCACGCCGTTGCCAGGGACCCTCATTTTGGCCAAGATTAATGATCCAAGGGACTTATGATGCTCTATACAAAAAGTTCTATGAAGAATTGTCGCGTCTTCAGGCCGAGCCAAATTATTTCAGGTTGCAAGTAGCAAATTGGTGCAAGGCTGTAACAGCGCGGGCGTCGATTCATTTTCCATCAGACTTTGGCCTCCAATTCTGACCCTTTGTATATACGATTTTGGTCTTTAGTAAAACATAAAATATGAAGGGCTATGAGTCAGCTTTCCATAGACATAAAGTTTGCCTCTTTTGGAGTTCGGAGCAAAGAGTTATGTCATTTTTACCAAAGGTGCGCAGAACAGCCTGGTAGCAGTGAAGTTTGACGTTGCTCTTCTTTTTAGACCCACTAAACTTGAGAACTGGACTTCCATTAAAACATGGCGTACTTAGAGCTTTAAATTAGCTTCCAAATCTTTAAACGGTTCGTCATTTGGAGTTCGGAGCAGAAAGTTATGGCCATTTTACCAAAGTATCTCAAAGTTGAGTAAGTTGACTTCGAGCGCTCGAAGGGCTTATTTCGAGCGCTCGAACTTTGGACAGAATGCTCTCTAGGAACCATCACTTCAGCCCACTTGCACCTTGATTCCCTCATTTCTGATTTCCATCTTTATGGGTTGGTTGGAGATGTCTTTTGGGGGGAGTTGAGCCTCATTTGGTGAGGGTTTGGTAGGATAATGGCTACAAGAAGGTGAGGGGAACCACATAGCATAGATATATCTCATCTTAGCAAGATTTGGAGAGAGAGAAAGAGGAGGAGAAGATAGAGTTCTTGTGGCCAAGGAAAGGGAGCTTGAAAATGGAGGTTGCATCCAAGCTTCTTCCTTCTTCTAAAGCTCCCATGGGTAACTAAACCTCCATCTAGGGAGGTGATGAGGCCCCTCCCTTATAAGCATGTTCTAATTTAGGCTATATTTTGGGGATTACAATGTATATTCTATAGTCTTTTCATAACCAAGAGCACTTCATTTGTTGTAATGAATGTTGATATATGTATGGATGATTTCTTTAAGTTGATTATCTTGTTTTAGTTGATGTCTTATATTAATCATATTGCTTGAGTTTTCATGGTGAGAATGGAGACAAGGTTATGAAATGGTTTAATGGCATGTTGATAAGTACTTTGATAGATCATTGCTTAGGTGAAGCCTTTGATGATTTATGCTTATTTCTTACCTTCATGTGCTTCATCATTTTATCTAGGGCTTGATAATCTTTCATTCAAGTAAATGTGGTTAAGCTACACCTTACTTAGGTAGTCTAAACATGTTTGCCTTTGATGGATCATGCTTGATTGAGATTTAATGTACATCTTGTTGAATATATGGCAACTATGTGTTGCTATATATTTCTTGACCATCATATATTGTTTTTCCCCCAATTTAGCTCTAATCTAGCATGTGTATAGGGATGGAGGCGGATTCACTTCCCTAGTCCTCTTTACTTGTATCTCATCTCCTTTAAATTCTTGCAAGCTTTTAATTTATGCACCTTAATTTCATAGCTTAAGTGACAACCAACAAATCCTCTATGAACACCCCTATCATTCTAAAAAGACTCTAGACACTTAGGTTGCCATAGATTAGCGCAGTCCCAGTGGTTCGACTTACCCGACCAATAGCCCTATTTTACAATGATTCGTGCTATTGCGAAGGTTGATTTATTATAGATCGAATTCTCAACCGATCATAGACCTTGGTTACTATTGGGGGATTAGAATGTTGTCAGGTACAATAATGAAAAGAAGGGAGGTAGAAGACATCCACCTAGAGTTTTTGCTGATTTTAATAATTCAATTGATAAATTGTACTTAACTAATATGCCCACAGCTAATGGAGTTTTTATCTGGTGCAACAAGAGATACAGCAATAGAAGAATTTATGTTAAATTAGATAGAGGTTTAATGAATGAAGATTGGGCTCTTACTTATCCAGATTCGCACGTATTATTAACACCTCCTATGACCTCAGATCATTGGGGATTATTTGTTAAAGTGCCTGTGAATATTGCCTCAGGTCCTAAACCTTTTAGGTTTTTGTTGATTTGGAATAAGCAACCTGCTATCAAGGACTTGGTAGCTGCTTCTTGGGGTAAACAATTTAAGGGTGAGCCAATTGCAAAATTAATGGTCAAGTTAAAGATTTTTAAACAAGATGTGAAACAGTGGAACACAGAGAAATTTGGATTAGTTTATGCTAAAGTGATATCATACAGGAAGAAGTTAGCTGAGATTCAAGGTGTTTTGGCTGATGACCCAATGAATGAGGATGTTATACACAAAGAGGATGAATGTAGATTAAATTTGGAATTGGCAGTTTCAAATGAAAATATTGTTCTTTCTCAGAAATCAAAGATTAGATGGGTGAAAGATCAAGATAAATGTACTAAGTTCTTTTTTCAGAAAATTAAGCAGCATAGGGCAAATAGTAATATGACAGCATTGCAAGAGGGAGGAACTACTATTACTGATCCTAATGTTATTAGCCATAGGTTTGTTCAGTTTTTTCAGAGAGCTTATGCAGGGGGTGTATAGAGTTACAAGTTCCAGAGCAGAAATGTATTAGAAAGACTATTGATCTTGAGGAGAGTACCTTGTTGTAAGCTGCAGTTACAAAAAAAGAGGTGAAGAGCCCTATTTTTGCAACGGGAGCTAATAGAGCACCAGGTCCGGATGGATTTTCTGCTAGGTTTTTTCAGCAATATTGGAGTATTATGGGTGATGATTTTACAGAGGCTGTTATGCAGTTTTTTCAGAATCCAGTCTTGAGGAAGGGAGTCAATAGTACATTTATCACTTTGATTAAGAAGAAGGATGCTATTAGGGTTAAGGACTACAGGCCTATATCTCTCTGTAATGTTTTTTATAAAATGGTAGCTAAGATCCTCGCTAATAAACTTGCTACGGCTTTAGGCAAAATTGTAGGAAATGAACAAACAGCTTTCATCCAAGGTCGAAGGATCGAAGACAATATTATTATTGCTAATGAGTTGATAAGAGGGTTTAGGGCTAAGAGGGCTAAAACTACGCTAGCATGGAAAATTGATTTGAGGAAAGCCTATAACACAGTGCAGTGGCCGTTTTTGTTTGTGTTGCTGAAGTTGTTTGGCTTTGGTGCTCAATGGATTACTTAGGTTAAAGAATGTGTATCATCTGTGTGGTTTTTTATTCTTGTTAATGGATCTCCTCAAGGATACTTTCAACCTGAAAGGGGGTTAAGGCAGGGATGCCTGTTGTCTCTATTGCTATTCACTCTTGTTACTGAATATTTCTCTGGTATAATGGAGTGGGAAACAAAGAAAGGTAAAGTGATTCCATCTCAAGCTGCAGCTAAAGCCAGAATTCCAATTACTCATCAATTCTTTGCTGATGATCTTTTAATTGTGGTGCGAGCAAATATGGCCAATGTTTTAACATTAAAAAAACTTCTACTTCAATTTGAAAAAACCTCTGGCCTTGCTGTTAGTAAGGAGAAATCTGAAGTATATGTAACAAGAATAGTGAAGAGAAGGAAATCTATTCTGCGAATTCTTGGCTGTAAGGAGGGGAAGTTGCCTTTTACCTATCTTAGTTTACCTATTTCTGACAAAAATCTTAGAAGGGCAGATTGTTTAAATCTAGTTGATAAGGTCATTGCTGTACAGCTAGACGGAATGGGTTGCATAATTCAATGGCAGGTAGAGTTAAGTTGAGTAGGGCTGTCGTCATTCCTATGGTGCAGTACTGGACTTCAGTTTTCTCTTTTCCTGCCGCAGTCTTAAGTGTTATTGAGAGAAGAATGAAGAATTTTATTTGGGGACATGTTGAAAATAGAAAGAAAATTCATGGTATTTCGTGGAAGAATATTACTGTGCCTAAGGAGGAAGGTGGTTTGGGGTTGAGAAGGATTGAGGACATTGACATTGCTGCAAAGATATGTCTGGCATGGGATTTCCTTCTATCTAAGGATAAAATATGAGTTGCTTAGTTTAGAAATTGTTACTTGAATAGGGCCTCATACTGGACTATGGTTGTTAAAGGCACTTCATCAGTAGTATGGAGGAGTATTGTTGTTGTCAGAGATATTATTAAGGTGAATTACAGATTCAGGATTGGCAATGGAGAGAATACTAAAGTCTTCATGGATCCATGGTGTGATGGGCAATATTTGAGTGACATTTATAATCATAGGATGTTGGGGGCTTTGAGTAGAGATAAGAGTATCTGTATGAGCAGCTTCATTATTAATGGGCAATGGGATGAGGATAAATTGAGCACTACAACTCAGGACATGATTCAGCTTTTCAAAAATTAGGTTATTGCCGGAGGAGATGATAAGTTACAATGGAAAACACCTTTTGGTTTCAAGGTCACTTAGGAAGCAGGTAGAGTGAAATATCAAAAGGTGATATGGGCTGATTTGTGCTAGAATGGTGGCCGTCCTAGATGGTCAGTTCATGCAGTTTTGGTTATGCATAAGGCACTTATTTCATAGGTGTTCTTACAAAAGAGGGGAGTTACATTGGCTTCAAGGTGCTACCTATGCTACAAAGAGGTGGAAACAATGGATCATTTAGTCTGTTGTTGTGGGTATACATGGAAGGTCTGGAGCTTCTTATCTCAGGTGTGTTCATGCAACTTGCAAAAGGTTAATGTGGTGCAAGATTTGGTGGATCAGTTTAATCAGGATTTCCAAAGGAAAGATGTCAGGAAGATGGCCAGAGTTTGCTTCACAGCTACTTTATATTTTCTTTGGTGGGAAAGGAATAATAGATTACATGATAATTTTGTTAGAGAGGCTAAAGATCTAGCTAAATGTATTTTTTAGGAAGTGATTGATGTGTTGGGTGTTAACCTTCAAGACTTCTTTTAATTTCCTTGCTTGCTAGATTGTGTGGTTTGGTCCTTATTTAGGACTTTTTGTTTTATTTTAGTGAGGGTATGCCCTTACTTGAATCTTTGTACTAAATTGTTGAATTTATTATACTCCGTCATTTAGGGAAAAATAAAATAAAAATTTCATGCACGGTATGGCCATGGAATTTAATCTTTCATAAATATAAATATTAAATAAAAAGTGCAATTCTTATTCAAATAATTCCAATTTAATATATGTTAACAAACATATCAAAACATAATTTTCTAGCATGTCACAATTTAAATCTAAGTTATATACATCCTTGTAAATTAAATCTTATGCAAAGAATTAAATATTACTAATTTTCTAGATTTGATACAAGGCATACATATAAGTTGTATAATCATGGGAAATACTCAATACAACACATAATAATCCTAAAACATCCCCTACCTCCATTTGAGATGAAATCTCAAATTCCCACCGAAATGATATCGCTCCAAATCCGACGAAACTTCTAGGTTTTGTCGGGGACAACAAGGTGATCATTAAACACCAAGGAGGTTCCATGAAAATCCCAACTTGGAATTAAACCCGAACTCAAGTAATGGCCAAAAATGAATTCTAATAAGGGGGAAAGGTAGAGCACGGCAAGGCGAACATAAAACGCGAAGGCACTACACCTTTCTACCAAAGGGAAGTGGCCGGAAAAGGAAGAAGAAGGGTGGCAGCCATGGATGGCTAGCCAAGGAGGGAGGAAGAAGATGAGAAAATCAGATTTTTCTATTAAGTCACCCTATTTATAGAAAAACCCTAAAAGTGTCCCGAATGGGTCCCACCGGGTCTGGAAAAGTGAAATTTGAGCAGATGCGCTCAAACGATGAAACTCTGTGAACGAAAAAGATTCAAAATGAGAAAATATGAACAACAAAAGAAACAGCATCGAAAACTGAGTCCCGAGTAGAGAGATATGCCCTGAACAAGTTCGGCGACAATCGGAGCCAAAAACTCTGAAACTGGAGAAAAATTACCAGAAGGAAATTCTAAGAGTACACGACCCGACGAAATGTGAAAATGAATCCCGTACGAGAATCCAGGCTCAAAACGAGGTATTTTTGCAATAACTTTCATTAATTGCACAATGGCCCCCTCTAAAAAGTAAAAACTGCACTAATGGCCCAGAATGAAAATATCTTCCAAAAATATTTTCTTAAAAACCCCTGAAATAAAATATTTTCAAAAGATATTTATGAAAAACACCCCAAGAAATGAAAAAGATTCTTAAGAACTGTGCATTCATGCCCCTATGGACACCGGGAGCAACCAGAGTACTCTTCTACAAAAGTAAAGATACGTATTTCATGGAAACCACTAAGAATGAAGATACGTAAAGTCAAAAACCAACTCCGAACACAAGGAGTGAGGTTTTACCAAAAAGAACACAAGGAGTGAGGTTTTACCAAAAAGTGACAAACGGGGGAAAAGACAAAATAGGAAAAAGGACGAAATATGGAAAAGGACAAAAAATGAATAGTGTCCGAAAAGTTAAAATGTGGAAATGACTCAGTCCTTAAAGGAAGTTGTCAATCCAAAGAAAAGAGTCTCAGAAACTATTTCCGAGCACTCGAGATGACACTAAGTGATGAGAAACTGAACTCAAAAAGGAAAAGATCAACGAAAAAAAAAAAAAATCCGTGAAAATCAGAGAAAAAGAAAGGAATGAAGATGACCGGGTCATTATAACCTACCCTCCTTAAAGGGATTTCGTCCCCGAAATCTAGAACAGACAAAAGAACTGAACAAGATCGAAACAAGATCAAACCAAAGGACAACCCATAAGGTGCGAAAAGACAACTTCAATGCCTGAAGGTCTTCTGAAGGAACGCGAAAACCAAAGACTGAGTGACACTCCCCAAACGAATTGGCATATCAACTCAAAGTCAATCACTGAGAGGATCCCCAAGACAACGACGAGTCGAATCATGACAGATGGCTAAGAAAGATATGGCAGTAGGAATAATGACCAAAACCCGCCCACACTTACTCATCAGTAAGGTAGCATGACAGTGTAACGCATTAGTTCATAACATACTACAGAAAGAAACTTTTTGATACAATTGACATCAATGTCGGAAATGATCATTACCAAAAGCACTACGGAAACCAGGCATCTGCGAGAATTGGGGTAGCTAACCCCAAAACTCTAACAACAATGTCACTGGTGCCGTTACGCTTAAGGCCTTAGATCCCTAAAGCTGGAGTACTAATGACCCCCACATCTAAAAGCACTACAACAACAACAACACCAGTCTCGAATCCACTGACTGACAAGTCTATGCCCTCAAGCCAATGGATCGGACCCACGAAACTGAAAAACTAAGCACAGTTCTGTAGTAGACCTACCGCAAGGCTACATACAGAAAACAAAACGCTGGGTCAAAATCCCTATAGTGGACAACTAAAACCTCAAAACACAAGTCTACTACATAGCTCGCTCATGACAATCCCGACAATCAAGGTCACAAAATCCCAATATAAGTGCAGGAAAGATGAAACTGTATAAACCAAATACTCATATAGTATATGCTCGCAAAATTTAAATGACATAAATCAAACAATATCATGGTACTAAGCACAGTACACATAAGGTAAACCAATTAAACCACCTATCACATAGAGGTTAAACAAATAGCAACGC